AAAGATAGTAAAATATATAAAAATAATTGAGTTTGTCAGCGTCGCGACAGAGCCATAAGCTGTGGCATTTTATAAAAATAGACATGTTTCTCATATAGAAGGAATGAGGAAGGGTAACTTAAAATTAACATTTTACATTATATTCACTGAAGATAAAAATAATAAAATTAAAACCGTAAGCTGTTAAAAAAAAAAAAATGAAATCCAAACATAGGTTTTATCCCTGCATATTATAGCATCTTCACTACCGTTAGTACATTCCTTATTTTCTTTTTTCTTTTTTTTTTGGCGTTAAATGGGAATATTTATTCAACCTTTTTAACCTGAACCAGATAAGTGAGCTTGTTAGGAGCCTGTTTGGCTCAGCATTTGGAGGGTAATAAATTACTTTTTTTTTTTTATAAGCAGAAGCATGGTTGAAAAATTTGTTGTGTTTGGATTGGTGATAGAACAATCTGACTTTTGCATAAAAAGCTACAATAAACTATAAGTAAAAATTAGCTACCTATGATTTATAGCTTGTGACTTGTAGCTTTTGCAACATAGAGAGAGAAAAAATTAAGAAATGTACTAATCCTCTTGTTCTTATTATAAACCTCAAATAACTAATTTGTAGAGAATAAAAAATTAATTAAAATTAGTTGAAAGTAATAAATAAGTAAAAAATATACTTATGAGTTCAAATATGCCTCTAGAAATATACTTTTGTTTTCAAATATACTTTTATAATAAATGATAAAAAATAAAAGAAACTATATGAGGTCAACATGAGCTTATTATTTATAAAAGTCTTACTCATTTCGGTAATTTTACAAACTAAAATTACTTATCCAATCATAATTCAAACAACTTTTTACCCAGTCTAACTTTTACAAGTTAACTTTTATAAAATCTAATCCAAACACATCACCCAATTTAACTTTTATTTAATCCAACTTTTTCAAAAGTCAAATCAACAATAAGCTGCTTTTCTAATCACTAATCTAAACGGATCATAAGTCAGTCTCAGTTGAGGAATATCAATCATCATGCAGTGATTTAATAATATTAATTAAAGGTGGGATCACAAATAAATTTTTTATTATTTTTTTTTTTTTGAAAAAAAACTTGTTCGAACATCCCTCAATGGAGTAATGCCACCTTCTTTTGGCCAACACTACAAATAATGCCGCCCACGCTTACTACCAAAACAGAAAAATTCCCAGCTCCAATGTCAACAGCTAATAAACTGGGAACGCTGCGTTTCATCATGACAGTGAATCATACAACCCATTCTTGGTTTTGTGTTCATTTAGATTAATGTTGAAAAATTGATTTAGGGAGGGAAATGACAATAAAATACCACTTGAATTCCAAAAAGACAAATAAGGCACATGAATAAGCAAAATGACAAATAGGGCACTGGGGTACCAATCTGGAATTCATATTTTCGGCTAAAGACCAAAATGCCCTGATGAAATGCGGGAAGACAGACGCTGATGAAAGTGAGAGAAAGGAGAGAGGAAGACCGACGCAGTGAGAGAAAGGAGAGAGGAGACCGACGCTAATGAAATGCGGGAAGAAGGAAAGAAGAATATTGGAAATGCTATTATCTTACTCCTTCGCATCACTATTCTGTAGAGATTGTTGATTTGGTTGTGGGAAAGAGGATTTGTAGTGAGAGAAGGAGTGAACCGAAGCGGAAATCAGAAAACAATGGCAAGCAATTACGTAACATTACTGCTGTCATATGCCTGCTGGTTTTTGGTAAATCCCACTACGTGAATGGTAAATTTCACTATACATGTAGTTAATTATGAAAGTTAATAGTTCAATGTTTATTGTGACGTACTTCAAATAATGTTCACTGAATGATTTATTTATGCTTATAAGTTGCCTTTCCGGTGAAAACAGGTTTACAAAACCCATTGAAGAAGTAGTCACTTTCACTATAAAAGTTGTAAATCCTAGTATATGTTTTGTAAAATTCAACGTGAAATTGTATTGGTTTTTACAAACAAGTTGCCCATCCCCTGAAAACATGTTGCAAAAGCCATTTAAGAAGTGGTCATTTTCACTATAAAAGTTGTAAATATCACTGTGTGTTTTGTAAAATTCAGTATGGAATTTTATTGGTTTTTTTAGAACAAGTTACCCATCCCCGAAAACTGGTTGCAAAAGCCATTTAAGAAGTGGTCATTTTCACTATAAAAGTTGTAAATATCACTGTGTGTTTTGTAAAATTCAGTCTGGAATTTTATTGGTTTTTAGAAACAAGTTGCCCATCCCCTGAAAACTGGTTGCAAAAGCCATTTAAGAAGTGGTCATTTTCACTATAGTGGTTGTAAATTTCACTATACATGTAGTTAATTATGAATTTTACAAATACATATTGTGATTTACAACTTTTGTAGTGAAAGTGACTACTTTGTTAATGGGTTTTGCAACATGTTTTCAGGAGATAAACAACTTGTTTGTAAAAACCAATAAAATTTCACGTTGAATTTTACAAAACATATACTGGGATTTACAACTTTTATAGTGAAAGTGACTACTTCTTCAATGGGTTTTGTAAACCTGTTTTCACCGGAAAGGCAACTTATAAGCATAAATAAATCATTCAGTGAACGTGCATTTGAAGTACGTCACAATAAACATTGAACTATTAACTTTCATAATTAACTACATGCATGGTGAAATTTACCATTTACGTAGTGGGATTTACTAAAAAACAGCAAGTATATGACAGCAGTTACGTTACGTAATTGCTTGCCATTGTTTTCTGATTTTCGCTTCATCTTTCCCACAGGTTCATCTTTCCCACAGCTTTACATTCTCTGAAAATGGTTTTATACGAAGAAACAAACAGAACCAAAATTTTTTAGAGAAATGCTAGGCAATAACATTTTAAGCTGTGGGAACCCATCGAAAATCAGTGTCTTCCTCTCTCCTTCCTCTCTTCTTCCCGATTTCATCAGCGTCTTCCTCCTCTCCTTCCCGTATTTCATCAGTGTCTTCCTCTCTCCTTCTCACTTTCAGACAGGGCATTTTGGTCTTTTGGCCAAAAATCTGAATTCCAGATTGGTACCCAGTCCCCTATATGTCATTTTGCTTATTCAGGTGCCTTATTTGTCTTTTGAAATTCAGGTGGTATTTTATTGTCATTTTCCCTTGATTTTATGTTGTAGAAATAAACATGCGAAAAGAATTCTATCTTATAGATAGCAAAATATTTGTTTTCCCAACACAAAAACTTATTTAAATTAACCCGAACAGTCACTTTATAAAGTTCTTGTACTTCTCTTAGAAGTAATTATTTATTTGTGTTTTTTCTACTATTTAAACGTCATGAAAAATTACTCATGTGCATTTAATTTTCTTATCTAGTACTTATAGACGATTTTTCCTAAAAATAACCCATGTTTTAGGATGTGTTTTGTTTTCAAATAGAAACAAGCAAAATCAAGTTTTAGTTATTGATTTTCAGCATGAAACCAATTCACCAAGCATGTAGTTAATCTGTATATAACTTAGATGTTGTATGCTCCATCACATTTTTGTTCAAAACCAATATTTATACGTAGTATAAAATATAATTATAATAGAAAAAAACCAATGCTGTCAATATTTGGTTTTATTTATTTATTTTAATTCTCACTAGAATTATTCTTACAAAAGAAAATGTCTCAAAGATTTCAAATTCCATTCTACTTGTTGGCTTGAGGTCTATGTATAATAAATATAATAATGTTAATAATATGTCTGTCAAGCGATATAAAATTATTACGACAAAAATTATATTACTTATATTTATTTACAGACTAAAATAATGAAAATCAATTTTTAAAATTTTTTCTAAGACATGATCTTATTTATCAAATTTTATTCTTATTATGATTGTATTTTAACAAGTTAAATATAATTTAAAATAGTATTCTGATTCCTTTCAATATTTTTCCTCTTCATGAAAATCTATTACTCCTCCGGTCTTTAATATAAGACCCATTTAACTAATTTGATTAAATTAAGGAAGTTAGGTAAGTTAGTTAATTATAAGAAATGTGACACATTTTTTCTAAAATATCATAATCATCTTTCTTAATATCTCCTCTCCTTCTTTTACTTGATTATGGTTGAGGAGAGTAGTATCTATGGGATAATTTAGAGAAAATGATAAATATAAAAATAGATCTTATATTAGGATGAAAATCAACTCAATAATTAGGATATTTATTAAGCGCCGGAGGAGTATCTCTTTGGCCAACGGATTTTTTCTCATTTTCGACTTAAACGTTCTATTAAGGAAAAGAAGCCGTCTGCGGAATGTCGAAATGTAATATTTCTGAGGTTGAAGTTTTTCCTACGAAAATTTGAAGCAAAAAATCTTGCCAGCAGTTGCAACTCGCAAGCAAATTCTCAGTTGTGACAGCGATTGCCGATTGAATTGAAATCTCCGAGGCCATCGGAAAAATTCTCTCTCCCGTTTGGATGGCTCGCTTGTCTTCAAACCCCATTAGTCTCCATAGATTCCGACCATGCCTGCAAATCCCTCAACCTCCGCAAATAATCGGAAATCCTCGCTACCCTCACCGCAAGACTCGCAGATTTCAGACCCTTGCTTGCCAAACAACTCCTAACCTGGACGAGACCTCCACAACGGTAAAGTTTCTGTTGGGTATTCTTTGGAGTGTTCAGTCTTAATAGTTCGAATGTTTTTCGATTTCCATCATTTGCTAAGCATCCTTCAACTTTTATGTTCAGGAAAGATCGGTTAATGAGGCTACTTCCGTCAATGGTCAAACAAGCAAGGTTTCACGCGCCCCTCTTGGTTCTTCTGGCCTTCCTGAATTCCCAAGCAAAGACATCAATAAGAAAATTGCAGCTGTTTCTGCTTTAGCTGCTGTGGGACTTTTCTTATCTACAAGATTGGATTTTGGTGTTTCTTTGAAGGATCTCTCTGCTGTTGCATTACCTTATGAAGAGGTTTAAGTTCTTTCCGCTGATTACTATTTCAGTATTACTATGTTGTATTGCTTCCCACGCAGTTATAGGTGGTTCAGTCTGTACTGAATTCTAACAATCTTATAGACGGAAGTGACATTTTGCTCTTCCCAAAAACTGCTTATGTACTTAAATGATCCTCTTGTTACGCCTATATGATCATAGTAGACAGTTAACGAGCTGTGTGTGACGTGAATTACCAGAATATGTGGCGCTAACTGCTTACGTGGCCATCAAGACATTGCATAATCACTTTTCCAAGCTACTGGTTCAAGTCTCCATGAGTCATAAAATGCAGCGTTTTGTTGGCCACAAAAGTATTTAATGGTCTTGGTGATTTTTATACTTTAAGTGAACATTATTTAAAAATAGAAATAATCTTGGGAAGTCTAAGACGAGATTTTTGGTCCTTAAAGCTAAATTGACTCAAGGGGTGTGTGTGCGCGCTTGCTTGCTTGGGTAGTCTAAGACGAGATTTTTGGTCCTTAAAGCTAAATTGACTCGAGGGGTGTGTGTGTGTGTGTGTGTGTGTGTGTGTGGATCAAGGATAAAATGCGTAATTCACAATATTATGTTTACCATCGTAAGCAGTTCATTTATTAATGTTATTCTAGGTCTTTAAAGATATGATAGATTGATAATGGCTTATAATTTACTGTTAGGAGCTGCTCTTACTAAACTTCGGTGTATTCATATATATATGTATATATATTTTTATATGTTGCAGCTACAGTTGCAATATCATATTTGCTAATGATTGTTGTACATTTGTCGGTGGATGTTCCAGGCTCTTTCAAATGGGAAGCCCACTGTGGTGGAATTTTATGCAGATTGGTGTGAAGTATGTAGGGAGTTAGCTCCCGACGTGTACAAAGTAGAGCAGCAGCAGTACAAGTAATGGCTTCTATTGCTGACATAGTTCTTTATGTTCATATGTCTCTTTTGCTGCCTATTTGAATTGGTAACTTTTAGGAACCATAATATGGCTATAACTCTGTACTAAAATTCAATATTGACGCCACTATGTTTTCATTGAACTCAGGGATCGAGTGAATTTTGTTATGTTGAATGTGGATAATACTAAGTGGGAGCAAGAGCTGGACGAGTTTGGTGTTGAGGGTATTCCACACTTCGCATTTCTTGATAAAGATGGGAATGAGGAGGGCAATGTAGTGGGCAGGTTTCCAAGACAGTTGATGCTTGAGAACGTGGATGCCCTTGCCCGTGGAGAAGCATCGGTGCCTCATGCTCGTGTTATAGGACAATATTCAAGTGCTGAATCAAGGAAGGTGCACCAAGTTGTTGATCCCAGAAGTCATGGTTAGACAACAAAGGTATCATCTCTTCAGAACAACTCCTTCCATTTGCCAGTGAGAAACAATTGAAGAGGCAGCTCGTTGCTCTTGTGTACTCTTTTCCAATATGAATTTGTTGTCATTTTGAAAACAATGTGCAAGTCTAATATTTAAATTCAAAAAGTAGATTATCATAGCTCAAATGTCTATATTAATGCAATTTCAGGATAGGTAAAGTTGCACTTGGGTGTTTAAGAGTCTTTTCATCCCTAAATTATTTGTGTGAGCATGTTATTTGTTTTCACATCCCACAAAGTCATGCAACTACTGGCCATGCATATTTTGCTGGTTGGGTTGAAACCATATGATTTTTCCGCTTTGATTACAACTCACCACTCACAACCAGAATCTAACTCAACCTTTCAAAGTCAGAACGTTTGAGCTCAAGCTCAATGAGGGCATGCTTTTCTGAGACACATAACAAGTAATAAAATATACAGGTTCTATAAATATTGTAAAAGTTACCTTAGATTTATGCGGCGCTAACGCTAGTTATTTTAAAGTAGTGATAGCTACTCAAAGTGATCGATACAAATTCTCTCATTAGATGAGTCATTTTACTACAGATTTTTGACCAACTTCTTTGCCAGTCTATCTGGCTCGAGGCCATAGACAGATTGATGAAGCAAAATATTTATTAATTGATGTGGGAGCTTAAATCTGAGACTTTTTTTTTTTGCTTTTGGGTTTTTTTTTTTTGGGAGGGGGGTCTCATAGAATCCATAATTTAGTGCTGGAAGTTGAAGCATGTGGAAACAGAGCACAAGAACAGATGAATTTATTGTTTATTAATTGATTCATCAACACTGTGAAAAGCATGCAGACTTATGCCGGTCATGTTGACATGACCAACCGTAAACAACATGATTAATAATATGATTATTGTTCGAAGGTACCGATATTCCCCATCTCTTTTTGCTCGGATGCCCAAGAAAGTGAAAAACCCATCCTCCAATTTAAACAGACAACTTTTTTAAACCAGCATCTTCGGTTGCTTCGAGAGTGATGATTCCCCATTACCTGCAGTAAAGAAACACTAATTTAGAAATTGCATACTTCAACTTTTTTACTCATCGGATTGGATTTTGCATAAAGATCTGCAAGTTTTGTTCTTTTGTGATTTAGATTACCGCTGGAATAGTATTTTGTATCATTTTATCTTTATTGGGACACGTCAAGCTCGTGTGGGGAGTTTTAGCTTTCTAATTCCCTGCGTGTTGTGTCCAGGTGATTTTTTTTTTTCCTTTTGAATATTTGATCTACTTAGGTCCGAAATATGTTCAGTATTATATGTTTTCTCCCAGAATCGCAGATTTCTTGAAGGTGATCTCTGATATTGTGTTCTGCAAGTTTTCAAGTGCATGCATTAAGCCCTGTTGCCTTTCTTGATTACAGAAGTCTGCCACATGCCACATACCATGCAAATTAATTCTAAAAGCGTGTAATTGATTTGGACTGATCAAACAACAATAAATCTTATTCTACTCGATAGGATCGGTTATGTCAATAAAAATGAACTTGGTGGTGGGGGCAGATGAACATCCCTGTTGCACTACCTTGAGCAGAAGTTGCAGACTGCGATGGTTGGTCAGGGGAAGTGGCAGAAGCTTTAGAGGGGATGACCACACCAGGCCAAGAGTGGCACATACAATGCTTTCCCTCATCAATGCTTCCATACAAGTTTTTCAAGTGCTTCCCACATCCTCCCCATGTATATTTCCCGCAGCTTCTGCACTCTACTTTGTAGCACATTCCTTCCTAGCTTGGCTATCTGTTCAGCTTCTAAAAAACTATTTTACCCAATGTGAACCTATGGTTCCTTATATATATACCATTCCTCTAACTTCGTGTTCATCATCCCTTTATTTACTCATGTCTTTTACGAACACCACCTCCATGAAACAGCTTGCCACTGAAGATAACGCCTCACTCCTAGTTACGCAAGGGAATATTCCATCGCACATTATCAATCGACATGAATTTGTCTTAGCTATGTTGTGATTATGTTCGGCTGTCTTGGTTTCGTCGTTCACACTAGCAATAAAGCAGTTTTCTAAATTGTTTTTCCTTTTCCCTTTCTGGAGTATCTGATATATGTTGTTACTGTGCCAAATTTAAGCATTTTCAGAGTGATTTGACAAGTAACTATTGACAATGCCCAAGCTGTCTGTGATAAGGAAAGCTACGAAAAACATTCTCGTTTCGATTGAATAGAGGAAACAAGGGAAATTATAGCAGGGATTAGAATGTTGATTTTAATTGTGTTTATAAAGAAAATATTTGGGAGCTATTGGGCTAAATGGGTTAGGCTATGGTAGTGATTCTATCTTTTCTAACCATTGGTCACTCCTTCACCTTAGATCTTGAACAAGTTAAGGTGAAGAATGATGAGAGGTGGCTTCTTAGTTTAGTGTTTTTATGTGTATTTTAGTGAATTTTAATAATAGTGTCCCTTTTCCATTATTGAAAAAACTCTCCGGATATTTTTCTTTCATTCGCAAGTTTTAGCATTAAACATCGTTAAACATCCTTAGTCTCTTCATCAAGATCGACTCAGCTTCTATATCCATAAAACCAAGAAATACCGATGCGGTGATCAATCCTAGGGAAGCAAGACATAATTTTGATTTGGCTTATTCACTAGGGAATATGAAAGCCGCAAGGAAAAGCACAATTTAAGGGGGAGAAAACAGTTTCTGCAAAGGGTAATCTCTCTTTTTGCAGGTAAAACCCTTCTTCTCCTCAGATAATAGCCACGAACACTATCATTCAATTAAGAATACTGATGTAAAACAGCTTCGAGTCATTCAACACAAACTCAACGAGAAACATTACAGGCACCTACATCTGTCAATTGATCATGTTCAGCTTATAAGTTGATTATTTATAATACACCTATAAGGGTGAATAGGTGTATTAATAATTTAAATGCCATTTGTGTATTTTTCAAAGTATTTGATAAGTTAGTAGCTTCTGCTAACTCTAAACAAACTTATTTCATTAAAATTTAAATAACGATGAACAATTTTAGTATTTGATAAGTTGGCAGCTTGTGCTAACTCTCCTAATTTAGGATTTTGAAATTCAAGAAGTTTTTTTAAAGATTTTCCCAATAAATAATAATGGATAGAGCATAAGATGATACCATCACTTATTTGATTCAAGAAAATGCTTACCTACAATAAATTATCTATTTATATGGATCGAATGAATTACTTTAAAATTTCTATTAATTAATTAGTTAATTAATATTAATACTAATGAATTTTATGTCGAAGTTCTTTATAATAATTTATGAGATTTAAAAAAAACATAACTTTTTTCCTGAAGTTGTTTATTAAAGAAGTAGTTCTTGCGTGTAATAGTTGTTTATTAAAGAAGAAGTTCTTGTTTGTAATAACTGTAATTTATTTTCTTCTTATACCCTCGTGTTTTTCCAGTTGTTAATTGTACTTCGTAGACTGTTATACTTATTGAATGTTTATTAAAAGGTTTCAATAACAAGCGATGAGTTTTTTTTTTTAGTCATTGGAAGTTTTGAGGTAATTATGTGGTGATAAAAAAAAATTATGTGAAATATCATAACAATCCTCCCAATATGTATGTTACCCGAAGGCCCAAAACTACAGATCAATCCGGAATCCTTATTCCATCTTTCAGCGCCTTTTGCTTGCGGGTCAAGCATTGAGATGGTTGAGATGATTCGTCGACGCAAGACCACAAAATCCAACGTTGGCCCCCACTATCACCATATCATCATTGATCAGCCTGGTCTCTCCTCAACCTTAGATTCATGGCTTCCGCACTTTCACCTCTGAACCGAACTCTTCCACTCCACCCTGTGCGCAATGCTACACTATCCTCCTGCAAGGCGCACGCAACCAAACCTATGCCGGCATTTCCTATCAACGCCCTTTCGGGGCGGAGGCAGTTGCTATTCTTTCTGACGGCGTCTACGGCGCTTACGGCGAGGGAACGGACGTCCAAGGCGCAAGACATTCCTCTGTTCGGAATTCGAAAGAATATTAGGAAGGCAGAAGAAGCAGCCGAGGAGATTGTGAGAGAGGGCTTCGAAGCTGCGGACAAAGGACTGGAAACGGCCGAGCGTGGAATTGAGGCGGCGGAGAAGGGAATAGAAGCGGCAGAGAGTGAGATATCCGATTCGGTGAGTTTTGGTGGTTTGGCACAGGCAGGAGTGGTGGCTGGAGCAGAGGTTTTTGGTGTTCTGGTTGCAACGGCCGTAGTGAACGGTATTTTGGGGCCGGAAGCTCAAAAGTCATGACGCTACAGACTAATGCGTCTAATGCTTGTTGATCAACTTGCAATGGGCTTTTGTGTGGGTGTTACATGTTTATTCTGTAAGTTGTGCGAGAACTTTTGTATTTTAGCCTCACATGAACGCATTAGCTTGGTACCGTAAAGTGCAAAGCTGAATTGAACGATAAATCTGTGTGCGTGGGTGTAGAATCTGTTACTTCCTGTGAATATTTCTTACGTTATGTTTCAGTGGTCGTCTCACTACACAAATCAGCTTACTTTTGCTGTGATTTACGAAAGATGTGCCGAAATTATATATGTCCAACATATTTGTTAATTTGTTCAAAACATATGATTGTCTAGAAAAACATAATGACTCACATATGATCTTGATTGCATCAAGTTATCAGCTTGATTCAAGGAGAGGGAAGAAGGAAACTAGGGATTGAGTATTATATTAGCTGGTTCATGTCCTTTTAGCCAATGATGATATGATATACCGATAAGGGTTAAGGAGCTGCCCTTGACCTCCTCCACAAATTGTTGAGCATTATCCGTCTGCAGGAACCGTCAAAGTCTCAGTTTTACTAAGCTCTCATGAATAAGAGACGCCTCTGGAAATGTCGTGCATATAGTTTCGTCCATTTTTTCCTGCATCCACTGCTTTTGATGTATTCTCACTCCTCTGCTACCTCCATCATAGCAGGCCTGATGTCTCTTCGTGAATCAACGCATATAAATGCGAGCTCAGCCAACTTGCGAACAGAATAGTTGGTCCATTCATCCTCATCTGATGACTGGAAAGGATCCACTATCTCCTCCAAACAACCCCTTCCACTCCTATCAACTGCAAGTGCTTCCCAAATTAACCTCATTAAGAGGTCGAGAAAAATCAACCGCTTTCAGGGCAGCCATTATTGCTACTAAAACCACCCCAAAACTATAGACATCACTCTTGTTAGGGAGGGGGAAGCTGT